TGGGAAGGGGGTGTGAGGATTCTGTCAGAGTCCGAGAGCCCCCCTACCTCCTTACCAAAGCTGGGTATGTACTTACTAGGCTTGGGGGTGGGAAGGCACCCCCTTGGCCCCCACACCTTGTGGGGGGACCATTTGCACTGCCCCACATCCCCCTCACCCTTCTGCCTCTCCAACTGTCATCACTCACTCTGCAGCTAGTATCCTGCAGCTAAAAGAAAGAGCCTTACACCACCTTCAAGGCTGCATCTTATGAAACAGACTGTGGCCCAGAAAACCTTATGCCATGTTATGTACTGAGTTGAATAGGATCCAAAATGCAGCAGTCTGATTGGTCCTAGAACAATGCAGTAGTATGATTGGTCCGCAGGAGCCACCCAATCCAGCTCCAGGTGGAAGTGAATCCACAACCTGATTGGCCTACAGGAGAATCCCAGAATTAGCCAATCATGTGCAGCCCATTGTGTAAATAATGTATATAAAGCAGATATTTTGGGGGAACTTTCATTCCGCCTCACCACTACGAGCTGAATGTTGTTGTTTAGTCGTTCAGTCGTGTCCGACTCTTCGTGACCCCATGGACCAGAGCACGCCAGGCACTCCTGTCTTCCACTGCCTCCCGCAGTATGGTCAGACTCATGCTGGTAGCTTCGAGAACACTGTCCAACCATCTCGTCCTCTGTCGTCCCCTTCTCCTTGTGCCCTCCATCTTTCCCAACATCAGGGTCTTTTCCAGGGAGTCTTCTCTTCTCATGAGGTGGCCAAAGTGCTGGAGCCTCAGCTTCACGATCTGTCCTTCCAGTGAGCACTCAGGGCTGATTTCCTTCAGAATGGAGAGGTTTGATCTTTTTGCGGTCCATGGGACTCTCAAGAGTCTTCTCCAGCACCATAATTCAAAAGCATCAATTCTTCGGCGATCAGCCTTCTTTATGGTCCAGCTCTCACTTCCATACATCACTACTGGGAAAACCATAGCTTTAACTATACGGACCTTTCTTGGCAAGGTGATGTCTCTGCTTTTTAAGATGCTGTCTAGGTTTATCCACTCTCGACTCCGAGTATATTTCATGCCATAATGTGTGTGTGTGTGTGTGTGTTTGTGTGCCTTCAAGGTGCCTGAAGACTGTTGCTTTCACTCATCATTAGCTTCCTAGGCACCATCCATCTTCCTCTGTTGATAGAACAAGGCAGCTTCCCATCTCTCCCTCTCATGCAGCCTGATTTGTCAGGATGGCCATCAAAACCCCTGCTTAACTGTATTTTAAGACCATGGGATTTGTATCAGCACTGTGTTATGCAAAGAGTAGTCATGTTTCTCCAAACTTAAAGCCACTCCTCACAGCCGTAACGATGATAAAAGGCCCCAAGGTGCTCAGAAGAAGATGAAAACCATGAATCTTATGGCAGGCTGCCACCTGCTGCAACTTGCTAGGACAGCTGCCTCACTGCTATCTGTCATGTTTGCCAAGCTGCAGCTGGGTTGACTTTGCAACATTCTGTAAAAATAACAAAGTTTAGTATGCTCTTGCAGGAGCAAAGGACTGTGTGAACATCATTGGTAACCTGGAAAAGAGAGTGGCTGGGCAGGTTTCTCACTTTTCGGGTTCTGAATGGGAAGATGAGAGTCTCTGTATGCTTGTGAAAATCTTCCTGTTTGGTGCATTGGTGGGGTAAGATACTGTTTCCAGCTAATGTGGAATCTCAGCTTCAGGGCAAGTGTTTTGAAGATGTCCTTTCCCAGGAGTATATATCTGTGGGTAGATGAGGGCTTGTTTGGCTCTCCCATCCCTGTAGATGCAGCCGGAGTGTTGTGGCATCCTTGGAGGTCTTACTTTCATTCAGGATTGACTATCATTCCAAACTTTGGGACTAGGTCTGCAAAAGGTTATTTTATCTAATTCTGCAGCCACAGGAAAGGGCATCACCTGCACCCTTACAGCACGTCTCCCTGACTCCAAAACGCTTCTCAAGTGTCTTTAATGTCAGCCTTCGGATGGATTCCTAAATGCTACAATAATAGGAAATATGAGTCTAGCTATCGAAGGCACCATTATTCTCTCAAAAATGTTTTGATAGCAAGCTTATCTGCGTGGGTGTACATACATCAAGCTATTTTTCTCCTGGCTGAGCTTATTCAGAAGCATATTTTAGTGGCATCTGATTTCCACGGAACAATGATGACTACCAAGGTGTCCATGAAGAAAACATGAGTCTGATAAACAACAGCGATAAGGAAAGTGCTAAAGAAAAGGTCTTTTGATGGGGAACCTTTTCCTTTGGAAACATCTCATGCCTCTGACCAACTGAATGCCTGTTCTTGCACTCAAACGGAATGCAGCCGCAAATTGAGGGATTTAGGGGCCTTGTTCCCTTTCAATTACGTTCCCTTGATTTGCTAAATCTTGGGTGATTATCCAATCATACCTGAAATGAGGAAATGATGGGAGTTGAGTTTCCCTCTCTTGTCCTAAGAGATTATAAGCATTAGAACTGTCGGGGGGGGGAGTACGTGTGTGCATGTATATATCTTGCTATAAATGGTGCCTTGTTTTCTGCTGTACCTAAGTAAGAATAACATTGCTGCTGGGAACTGCTCAGATTCCAGATGCAAAGTTTGTCATATTAAAAGGACGATCTGAATACCTCGCATGAAAACAATGTATTGTATATTTCAAAGCAAGTAGATCACGTGTGCAGAATACTGGAGAGCCACTCCATTAAATACAGTGAGCGAAACATTTAGGTTCATACCATTATTATATCTTTAAATTCAGTGCAAGTACTTTGGAAACACTGCCACAGATTTCAGGATTGATGGCTGGGTTAATATATCACTTAATAGGGTATTATGGAACATATTTCCATGGCCACAAATTGGGCAAGATTTTGGTCACAGGCCATATCTGCAGGACGGATTATTTTTCATCTAAGAACACAGAATATTTGACTTCATATTCATGAATCAAAGACAGTATTACAACTGTAAAATCACAACAAACAAGCTTGAGCATGGACAGAATTCAGTTAACCAGTGCACTGTTTAGTTTCCAGGTCTAACTAAATGCTGCAAGTGTAATAAAAGTGGATTAGGGAGGGGGAGATTTGGGGCAGAGAAGTTATGGGGTAGAGGGGTTATTTCCCCCTGCATTTCTGATTCCAAGCAATGTTTCCTACCCTCAGCATCACAAACATGTCATTTATTTTGCAAACAATGTGATAGGGTGGATCGTTGGACATTTATTACCACTATTCACATTTCCATGTAACATTTTCAGTTGAACAATACTGTGTGTGATTCCTTTCTGTTCCATTGGGGCAATTCTCACTTCACTTTTGGTAATCAAGCACTATGTGTACACTCAGGTTCAAAATACACACGAGCCACAAAAAAGGCAGTATATGCACATGTAAGGTAAAGGTAAAGGGACCCCTGACCATTAGGTCCAGTCGTGGCCGACTCTGGGGTTGCAGTGCTCATCTCACTTTATTGGGCAAGGGAGCCGGCGTACAGCTTCCGGATCATGTGGCCAGCATGACTAAGCCACTTCTGGTGAACCAGAGCTGCGCACGGAAACGCTGTTTACCTTCCCGCCGGAGCGGTACCTATTTATCTACTTGCACTTTGACGTGCTTTCGAACTGCTAGGTTGGCAAGAGCAGGGACTGAGCAATGGGAGCTCACCCCGTCACAGGTATTCGAACCGCCAACCTTCTGATCGGCAAGTCCTAGGCTCTGTGGTTTAACCCACAGCGCCACCCGCGTCCCTATATGCACATGTACTTTTCTCCATTTGTCCTTAAAATACATGCATCTACGGAACCACATCCTTCTTTTTCGCAGCCTGCATGTGACTTGAGAAACAAATCTATTTTGTGTGTGTATTCCCAATCAGCATTTCAAAGCATTCCATTCAGGTTCCTAAAAAATGCAAAAACTCAAACCACACTTTGCTTCATTCTTTATTATCCCATCTTTCCCCCATATTCTGAATCCAATTTCACATAGTTGGGATGCCAATAAAGGAAAGAGATCAGCTTTGTACAGTTTAATAATAATAATAATAGATATATTGCTGGCAAGTTGCGTTGTAAAGGAACCTTTTTAAAGACAAATATAAACATAGGATAAATAATGTAGCCTTGAAATATTTCTTGGGAAGGTTAATTGTTTTTGAACAATGTTTTGTGGCAATTAGTGCCACTTTCACTACTTATTCTAAGAATCTGGATGGAGAAAATGTAGATACCTTTGACCTTAGAAATATACATGGATAATAGCAGTAATAGCTGTTAAGCAATTCAGAGTGGAGTTCATGGTTACAGCATGAGAAACATCTGGGTCCTGGAGGTGGGAGATGCATGAGGGATAAACGAGAAAAGATACAAGAACTCATCGTACATATTTCTGGTTTTGCTTCTTAGCAAAATAGGGACAAGGATGTGAGAGCAGCTATCAAGACAGGACAACAGCTTGGGATGGAAATGGCCACAACTTTATTGATAACAGATGTCTGAAGGCTTTGGTATAGGCACTGGGGATGCATGCGGAATCAACCAACCCAATTTCTGGTGGATTTCTTCACCAGAACCCCCTAGGATGCAGATCAAATAGGGGGAACTCCCTAGGATGCTGTTTGGGGGAGTTCTGTGGTCCATTAGCCACCATCTTGGCCTTCAGACAAAACTTTCCCCCTAAACCCCTTTACCGGGATACTCTGACAATTTGTTCTAGTTGGATAGACTGCGAAGTCATTCTGTCTTATGCTGTCCATAAGCGTCAATGTGCTGTTTTCACCATTCTTAGCAAATGCATTTGTTATGCTCCAAATGTTGGGATTACATGCTCGCTCCTGGTCTTTAAAACATGGCGGGGGGGATGTAATGCAATCTTCTGACCTCATTTTGTTTTCACTGAAACATAATTATATTATTATGTTTCGTTATATGGTGTTTGTTGTTTCTCTGAAACACATGGTTTTTCTCTTTTCTGTGCTTGTATTTCAGTTGCGTTCAAGTATAGAGCTTGACCAGGACATTCTCAATGACTGTCTCACGATCCAGCCTCTCCAACCTCCTGCATCTCCCCAGGGCACTTCAGAAAGTACCGTCAGACAATCTCCAGGACCTGTGCATGACATTTACACAGGTATGGTATGGGGGGGGTAGTGAAAGAAACGTTATGTACAGGGTAGGATTCCAGGAAATAATTTTGTTGCCCATAAAAGCAAAGGAACGGACAATGAAGATTAATTGACAATGAAGGAAAACAATTTTAATCTGGAGTCAGTATGAAAGTTTCATGAAGGATACAAGTATGATCTCGAAAAAGGAAAGAACTGTAAAGCCCAATTAAATTTACAGGGAGAAAATTAAGAGCAATTTCTGCAAGAAACCAAAGGGAGTTTACGGTATCATCTTGGAAAACATCTTAATTCAGTTTAATCCGGGCCTCCAACCCAAAAATGAAGCTTCAGGCGCCCCTTTCACTCTTATGGGGAAACATTTTTAAGGCTGTAAGTTTTTCTCTTTTTGAGAGACATGGATGGAACTACAGCTATAGAAGCCCCTCCTGAGTGGATATATGCTTGACATAGATGCCTTTAAACTTGCTTGGAGGAGGAAATAAAAGGGATTCCCTTCCCTTCTGTGGTTTTAGGAACAGTGATTTTATTAGGAATATGGCAGGCATCGAAGGAGTGTCCCTAGAAAAGGAATGTACAGACTTCCAAAAGGATGGGAGATGTAACAAATGAGAGAAGGTAAATGAAAAAAACTAGACTGAGACTTGAGTTCTTCTCAGGATAATTGTGATGGCCTGGGATTCAGATTCAGATGCTGAACCTGAGGAATCCCAGCCTGCACAGGATTCCCCGCCTCCAGAACCAGCTGAGCCGGGGCTGGGGCATGAGCCAGAAGGGTCCTCACCTGTGCTGGATCCTCAGGTGCAGGCACCAGCTGAGTCTGCTCTGGCCCCGGGGGTGATGGAGGACCCATTGCCTGCAGGTGCTCCACTCTCAGTCCCGTCAGGGGAGGCTGAGGTTGCAGAGGCTCAGGGCAGAGAGGCGGAGGGAACTAAGTTCCCACAGGAGGAGTGCTCGCCTCCAGGCCAGGAGAGGCGAGTCACCTGAGGTTCAGGGCCGCCCTATGCCTTGGGGCAGATAAAAGCCCGCCAGCCCCAGTCCCAAGTTGCGGGAGCAACATTGGTGGTTATCAGTCCCTGCCTGAACCCTGCCCTGCACCCAGCTTTGACTTTTACGGACTGCCTTCATATTGCTTCATCGTCCACGGACTGGACTTGGACCTTGCCTCTTGATTAACCTCCGGGACCAGCACAATAATCATAGAAAGCTGCCTTATATTGAGCCAGACCACTAATCTATCTGGCTCATTATGATCTGCACTAATTTGGCGAGTAGAGTTTCTGACAGGGTTTTCCCACCCTCACCCTACATGGAAACACCAGTGAGTGAATCTGGGACTTCTAATAGGCTGGGCATGTGCTTGATCCCTGATCCATGGTCCTTCTTCCAAAGGAGGATGGCAATACTCTGCCTTTACTTTATATTTAATGCCTATGGAGGAGGTCATTTGGGTCACTGCAGATTACTATACAGGGTTGAGAAAAACTGCACTTGTTTAAATTACCCCTTATATGCAATTATTAAAAGTAAGCACACTCTGTCCGTCATTGCAACCGGTCACAGATTTAGCGACGGTAAAGAGAAATTCGTGTGGGACGCGGGTGGCGCTGTGGGTAAAACCTCAGTGCCTAGGACTTGCCGATTGTATGGTCAGCGGTTCGAATCCCCGCAACGGGGTGAGCTCCTGTCGTTCGGTCCCAGCTCCTGCCCACCTAGCAGTTCGAAAGCACCCCTAAGTGCAAGTAGATAAATAGGGACCGCTTTATAGCGGGAAGGTAAACAGCATTTCCGTGTGCTGCGCTGGTGCTGGCTCGCCAGAGCAGCTTCGTCACGCTGGCCACGTGACCCGGAGTGTCTTCGGACGGCGCCAGCTCACGGCCTCTAGAGCGAGATGAGCACACAACCCCAGAGTCGGACACGACTGGCCCGTACGGGCAGGGGTACCTTTACCTTTAAAGAGCAATTCAGTATCAAATGATGGGTTAACTGATACATACACAATTTGTTTTCTTTCCCTCCTGCTGGTGCCAGACTAAACTTGCTAAAATCAAATGAGGGATATGCAATGCACCCAGGACAACTTGATGATAGTGAGGAAGCTGACGCGTGAAAAATGTTATTATACAACGACTGAAGATTCATTGGACCCCTCTCTGCTTCAGTCAGCCAGCTTTTTATAATCCCCATGAATAGCCTCTGCTGTGACCCTCACAATCATTTTGCAAACTAACTACAAGAGGGGGGAAAGCACCAATAAAATCCCTACATGCTGCTAGCATGCATAGCAATAATGGGGCGCCTGCTGTGAAACAATATAGAACATGTCAGAGATGCCGGAGGAAAGGGTGAAGTTCGCGATGGAGCTCCGCCCTGGTCCCAAGAGGTCACAGCTGTTTCTTTGGCTGGCTGATATCCTTTAGGTTTGCCTTCAGATATTTCTAGTGATTGGCAGCTGGAACAATTGATTAACTGAGGCAGATGAACATATTGGAAACTCTTATTGCTTTTGTGATTAAGAGCGAGCAGAATCCCCAAAGCAATAAATTGTGGGATCTGGATTAAAATCTGTCTTGCTAAAACTGAAGGTCATTACATTAGATTGCTGCCATTCAAAAAGATTGCTGGCTCTTATCTGGTTCAGAAGATTGTCGTTTGCCTTCTGAGTTCTCGTCTTATGTAAAAAGGAAATATTTATAGTCATTTATGCCAATGCAATTTAAAACTCATAGCCCAAGATCCTAAACAGTTCTACAGATTTGAATAGAACAGCTGTTTTAGTTGCACAGCTGTATTCCTGGGTGAATCTGGAAATGGAACTTTGGATATTTTTGTCCTGCTAGTGAACTATATAAGAACAAATACTACTTTTATATATTATTAATCCTAACTGCTGCATTACTTGGCCAGGTAAACAACAATGACTTCTTTTTCTGGGGGGAGGGGGTTTAAACTAAAAGGATATTCAAATTATATTTGCATGTCATAATTAAATATTTGAGTTCCTTAGTCAACTTCATCCACAATAAATAGATTAATCAAGCAACAGCATAAATATATTTATCCTCAGATTTTTATACTTTTATTTATTTATTTTAATCACTTCATATACCACCCTTTATTGGCAGATCCCAGAGTGGTGTACAACATTAAAAACATAATTTGCATAGCATAATAATAAAACAATCCCAGCCTCACCCCACTCTGGCAGACACCATGTTACCCTCTGGGAAGCAGCAGCTGCTGCTCAGCCGCCCTCCTCCACTGTTTAATAATAATAATAATAATAATAATAATAATAATAATAATAATAATATTTTATTTATGCCCCGCCCTCCCCAGCCAAGACCGGGCTCAGGGCAGCTAACAACCAAAAATAAAAACAAGTTGATGAAAATACAATTTAAAAGATTAAGATGCAACATTAAAACATTAGGGTGCAATCTCTTCATAGGAGGAGAAAGGAAAAAGAAAGAGGGGGAGGGAATCAAACTGATTCCAAGCCAAAGGCCAGGTGGAACAACTGTGTCTTACAGGCCCTGCGGAAAGAAATCAGATCCTGCAGGGCCCTGGTCTCATGAGACAGAGCGTTCCACCAGGCCGGAGCCAGTGTTGAAAAGGCCCTGGCTCTGGTTGAAGCTAATCTGACTTCCTTAGGGCCCGGGACCTCTAGGGTGTTGCTATTTATGGATCTTAAGGTCCTCCTTGGGGCATACCGGGAGAGGCGGTCCCGTAGGTACGAGGGTCCTAGGCCGTGAAGGGCTTTAAAGGTCAAAACCAGCACCTTAAATCTGACTCTGTACTCCACCGGGAGCCAATGCAGCTGGAAAAGCACTGGGTGAATGTGATCCTATGGCAGAGACCCTGTGAGGAGCCTCGCTGCAGCATTCTGCACCCGCTGGAGTTTCTGGGACAGCTTCAAGGGCAGCCCCATGTAGAGCGAATTAGAGTAGTCAAGCCTGGAGGTGACCATCACATGGATCACTGTGGCCAGATCAGGGTGGGAAAGGTAAGGGACCAACTGCTTGATGCGATGAAGGTGGAAAAATATCTCCTTTACTGTTGTTGTAACCTGCGCCTCCATGAAAAGGGAGGCGTCAAGGATTACACCCAAACTCTTAACGGAAGGCAGTGGCACTAATTGGGCCCCCGCAAAAGAAGGGAGTTGGTCCCTCATTCCCATACCATCCCGACCCAGCTACAGGACCTCTGTCTCTGAAGGGTTAGAAGAATTATTGAAGAATAGAAACACTTGTTCTTGGAAGGAAAAGTCCATTTTAATAGATTGTCATTATGGCCCCCATAGCATCTTCCCTTCCAGGGCAAATGCCATCTGGTGGGGTGATTTTCACTGGTACTTCAGAATGGAAGGAAAGGGTCAACCTTCTTCACCCTCGCCATCGGAGGAGCTCTGTTCGTCTATTACTTAAAAAACTACACACACACACAATTGTGCAGGTAATGCAGTATAATGTCATCATGCACAGTACAGCTCTGAGTTGATTTCTCTATCAATTTAACAACAAAACATTGAAAACCCCCAAACTGACCTCTTATTTTGACACTGATTTGTTTAAGTCCACCTGCAGCCCTGAGACACAACTGGAAGGCTCCCAGATTGAGCAGGATTTTTCGGCCTATGAAATCCCCATTTTATGGCTGCTTAGACATTTAAGTGGGGAAACGGCAACACTTTTGCACTTTGATTATTCTAAAAGGAGGTAGATGAGGTCTTTTTTTATGTGAAAAAGATTGACAGAGAACCATAATTTAAGAATAATATACCCATGGAAATGAATTACGACATTATTGGTAGTTTGCAGGAGGAAAGGTGGCAATTCTCCATTTCAGAAAGGTTCTTTAAATTACAGAGTACTTTCTCTGCTAAGATGGGAAGAAACTTTTTTTTTTAAAAAAGAAGCTTTGATTTGGAAGCAGTTTGAGAATGCAAACTCTCATTTCTTAATTGTGTGCAAGGTGACGCCGTCCATCACCTCTACATGATTTC